AGGGATGGGAAGAAGGGACATCTGCACCTCAGCCACCATTTAGCTCCAAACCTCCCTTATGCTCTCATCTGCCCCATAGCCCCCATCCTGTAACAAGAGGACCATCTGTATCAGCAGAGGCCACAGCATCTAGCTTATGCCTTTAGTGTAACCTGTTACTGCCTGCCTGCTCTGCCTGATATTCCCTGACTCTTAGTACTAAGGTCTCATGGAGGCTGCAGTCCCACAAGCAAGAAGAACCAAAGGGTTGTACTGACTGGTAGACGCTAGCCACAGCTGTGTGGGGCCAGATTGACACTGGGCAATCGCTAAGTAGATCAGGGCTCAGGCTCTCCTGTTTTGGGAGACATATGGGGACAGGGACCTATAACCAACACCAGCCATAGCTGGATTCAATTAGCGCTGCAGGTTGTGATGCACTGAGTGACTTTTCTGGAAGTGGCCACCTACAGTTCCCTGTGGCCAGCCGATGTATGCAGGCTGGATTTTTTGGGCTGTCTAGGGAAAGCCAAAAGCAAAACCCAGAAGATAATTCTTTCTGTGGAGGAATTAACAGATATAGCACTGACCAATCAGAATAGCCACTGGCTATACATTTCCCCGTTATAACCATATTCACTGCATTCCACAAATTTTTTTTTAATTTCCAAATATATGAAGTATTTTAAAAGTTATTTTTGTCATTGATTTCTGAGTTAAATTCCTTATGTTCAGAAAATGTGCTTCATGTAGTGCTGTTCCATGATATATGTTGACACTTACTGGCCTTGGCCAGGCACGGTGGCTCAAGACTATAATCCCAGCACTTAAGGAGGCTGAAATGAGTGGTTCTGTACCAAAAATACAAAAATTAGCTGGGTGTGGTGGCATGCACCTGTAGTCCCAGCTACACAGGAGGCTCGGGTGGGAGAATCGCTTGAACCCTGGAGATGGAGGTTGCAGTCAGCCAAGATGGCACCACGAACTCCAGCCTGGGTGACAGAGACTCAGTCCACTCCTGCTCCAAAAAAAATTTCTGATATATTTGAATTGATTTCGCCAGCCCGTTTTGTACTTTTGACCTCAATTATTCATTATTCTTTTAAAATTCTTCTTTTTTTCTTTCCTGCTTTTGAATTGCTGTCACATACATGTAAAATGAAGCATGGAAAACGTATGTGTATTCATAATCAACTGGAAACTAATACCTTTTTATTTCTGCTGTCAGTCCAACAATGGAGGTAAAGCACAGAGTGGTGGTTCTAAACTTGAACTTCACAGATGAACAAAATTTCCCCATAATGTTGGTTGCTGACTGGGCAAGGTGGCGCAAGCCTGTAATCTCAGCTACTTGGGAAGCTGAGGCAGGAGGATTGCTTGAGCTCGGGAGTTTCAGGCTGCAGTGAGCTATGATTATGCCACCACATTCCACCCTAGGTAATAGAGCAACATTCTGTCTCTAATAACATAAAAAAAGTTGGTTACTAGTATAGGGTTGCCAACTTTTCATTTTGCCAAGTTAGGAAATTCATAAAACAAATAGACGTGAAAACTATCATCTGTCCTCATTATAATTTTAAAAAAGAACGGACATTTAAAAACAACTTTTTTTGGCAAATGAAAACTTATTACTATCGGGTTTTCACCATTAAAACTGGCTTTCTTGGTCTTTCCTCCTCGCTGTTGATAGGGCCAAAAGAGAGACACTGGTTACTTTAAAAACTTTAAGGTGGACTCCAGGAATATCACCAACAGCAGGATCTTTTCCACCAAATCCAGCAACCAGAACTTCATAGTTTTTTTCAATAAAGTTCAAGCAACCAGCATCAGGTACAAAGGCTGTGATTTTCTTGCTGTTCTTGATCAGCTGGACCCTGGCACACTTCCCCGTGGCAGAGTTGGGCTATTTGGCTCCAACCCCTACTTTTTCCAGCCCAGTTCCCTTTGGATGAGAATCATCTCCAAAAGTGCTGGTCTTCAGGGCAACTGTGCCCAAATGGACTTTCTTGTACATTTTACCATGCCACTTCTGATCCATTCGGTGACTATGGAGCTTCCAGGTGGTAGACAGTCCACAACACTTACCTCTTTTGCCGACTCCACAGGTCTGAGCAGAAGAGCAAAAACAAAAACTTAAACTATAGAAGAAATGACTCTAGGCCTGGCATGGTGGCTGATGTCTGTAATCCAAGCATTTTGGAGGGCCGAGATGGGTGGATCGCCCGAGGTCAGGAGTTTGAGACCAGCCCCGCCAACACAGTGAAACCCTGTCTCTACTAAAAATACAAAATTTACCCAGGCATGGTAGCAGGCACCTGTAATCCCAGCTACTTGGGAGGCTGAAGCAGGAGAATCGCTTGAACCCGGGAGGTGGATGTTGCAATGAGCCAAGATCACACCACTGGACTCCAGCCTGGGTGACAGAGCAAGGCTCCATCTCAAAAATAAATAAATACATAAATATATAAAAGACTCTAAAGGTCATTTGGCAAATTTATTCATTTATTTACTTATTATACATACAATACACCTATATGTATTTTACATGATATAAAATATAGGTACACATAAACATATGCACATGTAATTTCTGCATATGCATATCTATGCTTGCATATCTTTTCATTTCACTGAACATCATTGAAAACTTCCACCTGCACCCAAACTGGAGTCCGCTGATGGGAGAGGAGGGCAGTGCAGAAAGAAAAAGGGTTCTGTGTGGAGGATACGGAGGGGTCCTGGGTCTTGAGCAATATAGAAAATGGCTTTTTAGAACCAGCACTGACCAGGTGCCCTAGGTCGATGGTAGTGGAATTGGGGGACTCTGTCCTCAGATATTTGGATCTGGATATGTCGGCATGAAAGTCCTTAAGTTGTAGACAATTTTTTAAAAAATATTTTTTTATTTTTTATTTCCAAGCTGAACATCGTTAACTGGAATATTACAGGCTTTTTAAGCTCTGTGTTTTGTCTGCATGTCTAATATGCCGGTAGGAACCTTTCGAAACAGCGAGGATTGAAGACTAATTTTGTAATACCAAACTCCCTTACTTAGAGATCACATTCTGCCGGACGCGATTGGACACATAAGAAAATATTTTTAATGTTCACGATAATAAGATTATGAGTCAGCACTAAACGTGTGCACAGGCATACATAAATTGTCTACATAGGCAAAAAAAAAAAAAAAAGCTCAAAGTCGTACTTCTCTAACCAAACCAACAGAACCCCCGAACCCACAGACAGCATCCATTTTGGATTCCCCAAAGACCCTTTATTCCTGCATTCTCTTCTGCTCTCCTTTTCTCAGCCTCTTCTGGTGGCAGCTCCAGATCCACCCAAGTGCTAGCGCGGGAAAAAGACTTGCCTTGCTCAGAGCCATGAGCGGCGCCCTGGAGCACAGAAAGCTGATTGTCTTACAGATTTCAACATCAGTCTGTTTTTTGAAGACGTAGAGCGCTGAGCATTTTCTCTTCAGTGAAGTGACTTGGAAGCAAAACTTCTTAACGTCCGTCTCTGTGGCGCAATCGGTTAGCGCGTTCGGCTGTTAACCGAAAGGTTGGTGGTTCGATCCCACCCAGGGACGTAAGTGACGTTTTTGTGAAAAACTCGGGTTTTTGAAACCTTGGCTGAGGAACGGCTTTGGATACTAAGTGCTAACCGCGGGGAGCCCTGACAACTGACCCCCGCGGTGGGTGGTTCCCAGTGTCCTCTTCCGCCTTAGTCCAGTACCAGTAATTTTGAGGTATTTGGTTTTTCCGACTAGGGTTGCGATTAGAACTTTTAGCGGCTTAGCTACTGCAATTATGTTTTAAAACTGACAAAGAAAATTTACCGACCAAAGGAAGAAAGTACTACAAATCTCAAAATGAATTGTTTATCTTTCCACCAAACCTGTGCCTGCCTTGCCTTCCTATTTCCTAACTCAGAACACGGGCACTGTGTGTGAAACCTGGTCCTTCGTCATGTGGCGACCTATTGGCTGACAGTTCTTGGAGAGTCAACCTCCTAAATACCTTGTGGATTAGGCACCTTCCTCTCCCTCCTCACCGACAGTTACTTCCTCATTGCTCCCTTTGGGTTACTGCATCTTACCTTGCCCCTAGATGGCTTCCTGTTTTCAACTCTCCCGACCCGTCCATCCTTCAAGTAGTTGCCAGAGAATCCTTCTAAAATACTATACAGTACAAACCTGATCTAATTAAACTCCCTCAAGGTGTTGCAATATCCTTAGTTTGGAAGGCAATGCCCTTTATGATCTGGCCCTGAAAACTCTTTCCTCTCCCTCACCAATGCTGGAAACAACAGGACCGAACTGCTTCCTTGAACTCACACTCTGGCTTTTGGATATTTGCCCATGGACCTTGGCCCTTTCTCTTCTTTGCCTGGCAAACTCCTACTCATCCTTCATGACCACACTCCCCCAAATCAAGCCTCTTTTCTCCAGCTCTTTCTTCACTCTCGTCCTATTATTTTTCTCATTAGAATTAAAGCTTCCCCAGGGAATGACCCTGTGTTGTTCATCTGATGTCTTCAGCACGTGAACTCAAGCTTGCACATTGTCGGTAGTAAATAAATGTGAGCTGAATGTCCAAGGTTTCCAAAGGCACTTGTCTCATGTCTGAATCTTATCTAATATTTAATTTATGTATGTACTGTAGCTTGAATCGTCTTGGTATATAGCTCATAATTCATACAATCAGGCTGACCCTCTACTTCTGCCAAGGCCTCTACCTACTGCGTAGCTGTGCCTTCTCCTATCTGCCCTAATGCTCTAAAACTCTAATTTCTATTCAGCTTCCTATCCCATACTTCCCATAAGAAGCACCCTTCACCCAGTTGTCTCAGCAAGCTGGCTAATTCATAAGAGTTGTGGTGAGATGGTTGCTGGGATGAGCAGGTGTTTTTCACCAATCCAAACTGATCTCTGTTACAGTCTTGGACAAAGGGAAGAAGAAAGGATTTGATCATTTGTAGTTTATTACTGTGGTTTTCCCGTCTTCTAAGAGTAGCATGCAAGATCTTGTAATATGCTTTATTCTACCAGAGAAATGCTGCGCTTAAAACTTCCAAAACAGGAAGAGACAACTAAAGCTTTCTTTCATAAGCAACAGTTGCCATCTCCATCTCCACCTCATTGGAACTGACATGATGAAGGATTTGAAAGTTTCATAATTTAACTCAGTGAAGCTCAGTAGTACATTTAGTATTGGTTATCCAACATTTGTTTAATAAATGAAATGAACAAAGCTACACCGCAATTACGTGTTGAAGCAGAAAGGGTGGTTTTACAGTCCCTGCCCTTACCCTCTAATTCTTACTACCCTGGCCAAAAAAAGCATTTTCACCTCCTGTGCTTTCCTTCCTGTGTGCTTGTGGGTGGCTCTTTCTTCTCAGACTTTCCCGCGCTGACACTGAGATCGTTCTGTTCACTTAGCTTAACTTGGGACTTGCTCTGTACTTTCTTTTCCACCCCACCCCACTCCAATCCTCAGTCTCCTTCCTAGGACCATTTTCTGCTCCTAGCATTAGGAGGGCTCATCATTATAACTTGCAGGTTCAGTTCTGAGAGTCCCCTGGAAGACCCAATTCTACCTCACCCTCATGATTTCCCGTTAATTCCACCATGACTAACGTTCTAGGAAGACAGTCTTATCTATCTCTGGGTGCATGGGGACACCTTCCTTAGTCTATCCTGTACTACTCTGCTCTTTCTCAGCCACCCTTTCATTGGTCCCACTGAATTCCCTGGATCCCCAGCAGCTCCCACACTCTGTATGGCCCTGCCTCAACCATTAATTCTACCTATTCATTTATTTAGGAATAATTATTTTTCTTTTTCCCCCCCATTAAGTAGGTAATTTATAATAGGAACAGTCTTTTGTTTTTTGAGACGGAATTTCGCTGTTGTTACCCAGACTGGAGTGCAATGGCACAATCTCGGCTCACCGCAACCTCCACCTCCTGGGTTCAAGCAATTCTCCTGCCTCAGCCTCCCAAGTAGCTGGGACCACAGGCGCGCACCACCATGCCCAGCTAATTTTTGTATTTTTAGTAGAGACAGGGTTTCACCTTGTTGACCAGGATAGTCTCGATCTCTTGACCTTGTGATCCACCCGCCTCGGCCTCCCAAAGTGCTGGGATTATAGGCGTGAGCCACTGTGCCCGGCAATAGGAACAATTTTTATATGTTTCAACATTACTGTCCATAGCCTGTATTGTTGCTTTGCTGTGAGGGAACGGTTGGGACAGAACAAGTGTGTAGCTCTGAAACTTCAATTCCTAGGGATGCAACTACTCACTGGGGCTTCCCTGCTGGCACTTGAAGATCATGGGCCTTTCCCTTCCACTGGAGACCAAGGAAGAGTCGAAAGTTGGGTAAGGGAGTTGGGCTCTTAGTTCTATGTTTCCTGCTGCTCATGGAGAGGCCTAATGAGGATGACAGAATTGCAAATCCAGAGAAAGGTTCAGAGACGCTGCTGCCACTGCTCTTATTACCCCCATGGGATGGGAGTCATTTATTTTGAGGGTCCTTGCTCCATTTAAACTTATGGTCCTTCCAGTCCCTTTTTGAGCTTCGAATGTTACTCTTCACAGAGAAATACAATCCTGTGTCCACTGCAAAAAGGAATACCATCACCAAGCAGAAAGAGACTTGGTATCCAGGTAGAAAGACTGGTGATTTGGATGACGTCGAATCTATTAGGAGAAGTGGAGAGAGGAAAAAAAGACAGTCACTAAGGCAGATATTTGGAACAAACAATGAGGTCACCAGCAGAGGGTCTTTGACAACTGCCAAGAGACAAGTGGTAGGAGTGGTGGGGGAGTCTGGGGGAAAGTATTGCTTCCTCCCATTAGCTCCTGATCTTAGTGCTATCTCAGCAGAGTACAGCTCACCAAACACTTAGCAAAGGCTTCTGCTTGTTTGACAGAGATGTGACAGAGAGCCTTAGCAAGTTAGGTTGTAAGCTGGGTTTTGTGTGACAGTTAAGAAATTGTCAGACAATGCTGTTGTCTAGAAACTGGGACAAATTTGTTGATTTTGCATTTCCATTTTTTAAACTCTTGATTTTGATATATTTTCAAACTTAAAAAAAATGACCAGAGGCCAGGTGCAGTGGCTTCACGCCTCTAATCCCAGAACTTTGGGAGGCCGAGGAGGGCAGATCACGAGGTCAGGAGATCGAGACCATCCTGGCCAACGTGGTGAAATCCTGTCTCTACTAAAAATGCAAAAATTAGCTGGGCATGGTGGCACATGCCTGTAATCCCAGTTACTCAGGAGGCTGAAGCAGGAAAATTGCTAGAATCTGGGAGGCAGAAGGTTGCAGTGAGCCGAGATCATGCCACTGCACTCCAGCCTGGTGCCTGGCGATGGAGCTAGACTCTGTGTCAAAAAAAAAAAAAAAGGCCCATCAATGATAGACTGGACAGGGAAAATGGCACATACACACCATGGAATACTATGCAGCCATCAAAAACGATGAGTTCATGTCCTTTGTAGGGACATGGATGAACCTGGAAACCATCATTCTCAGCAAACTGACACAAGAACAGAAAATCAAACACTGCATTTTCTCACTCATAGGCAGGTGCTGAACAATGAGAACACATGGACACAGGGAGGGGAGCATCACACACTGGGGTCTGTCTGGGGGAAATAGGGGAGGGACAGCGGGGGTGGGGAGTTGGGGAGAGATAGCATGGGGAGAAATGCCAGATATAGGTGATGGGGATGAAGGCAGCAAATCACATTGCCACGTGTGTACCTATGCAACAATCTTGCATGTTCTTCACATGTACCCCAAAACCTAAAATGCAATTTAAAAAAATCACAAGCTTTTAGCTTCTCACAGCTTGTTTTCTTTTAAAGAGATGATGTTCAAGGTTATGCAGTATTCTTTGAAATGCTTATATTTAAAATAAAATCTCTCTTTGTGCTAAAAAAAAAAACCAGAATAGTACAAAGAACTCTCATATATCCTCATTTATCCAGATCCACTCATTATTTACATGCTACCCCATTTGCTTCATTTGCTCCCTCTTTCCCTAACCACTTGGGAGTATTTGCTTTCAGTTTAAAGTGTAATGAAATTATTTTTATACAAATTATGGTATTGTAATGTCAAAATCTCAAAAGGTGTTTTGCTGCCTTTCTACATGCAAACTGTTTACAGTTTATGTCTTGGACTATCTACAGATAGAAGTTGTGTGAAACTGGCAGGTCCAGGCACACCACACCGGAGCTCTGACTCTGGAGGCTGGTGCTATAGAACCTAGGGAGGCTTTGTGGATGACTTAATGGGATCATAGGATATGAGTGCTTGTTCAAATCTTTTGCTTAATGGTTAGATACACAGGCTTTGAAGTGTTTGATGTGACCTTAGGGACAAGGTATTATTTTTGCTCCTCAGTTACTTGCTCTGTAAAATGGAATCAATATTACCTGTCTCATGTTGTGAAGGTCTTCTATGATAGTCAAACCAGGTGCATGTAAAGAATTGTTTAGCAGCTGGGAGGGTGGCTCACGCCTATAATCCCAGCACTTTGGGAGGTTGAGGCAGGTGGATCAAGAGGTCAGGAGTTTGAGACCAGCCTGGCAAACATGGTGAACCCCGTCTCTACTAAAAATACAAAAATTAGCCAGGCGTGGTGGTGGGTGCCTGTAATCTCAGCTGCTTGGGAGGCTGAGGCAGGAAACTCACTTGAACCTGGGAGGTAGAGGTTGCAGTGAGCTGAGACCTTGCCATTGCACTCCAGCCTGGGCGACAGAGTGAGACTCCATCTCAAAAATGAAAACAAACAGACAACAACAAAAAGAATTGTTTAGCACAGTCTGCCACATTGAAAGATGCCCAATAAATGTCAGCTTATCTTTGTTACAGAAGAATAAATTGGGGTTCAGAGAGACTAAGTGGCTCACCTCTGGTCAGACGGTTAATTAACTGCAGAGCCAGAACCCAGGTTCTGGGCTCTTTCTGTGAGGGGCTCCTGCCAGTTTGTATCATGGCTAAAAGGCTTGGATAAGAAAGAGGCCAGCATAGGAACCTATGACATCGCGGGTGTGATCAGGGTAAGGAAAGACAGAGGTATTTATTGGGGAGGAAATGTGGCTTCTGCTCCTGCGGTCACACTGCAGGGTAAATGACACCTCTTAGCCATCCCAAAAGAATGGACTGAAACAGAGCTGCAAACCTATCCAGCAAACAGGGACTTTCAGGGACCTCCTGCTGATCACCAGGAGGGAACCACATATGAGGAAGCAGGTATAAGAATCGGGAATCTCCTTCCAACTCATCTTCCCAATGTGAGTGCAGGCTCAACACAGGTGTCCCTGGACATTCCAGGGTAGCACATTTCTTACCTTGAATAACGGTGATGTTCACACTCTCTGAAGACACATTTTTACCTCCAACAAGCCCCCTGCAGAAGTAGGAGCCGTTGTCTTTGAGTGTGGCTTTTGGAATGAAGAAGTCAGAATTCTGATGAAAATACTTCTTCCCTTTGCCATTCTGTAAATATGTGACCTTATGCAGAGGAGTGTTCTTCCAGCTGTGGCATCTCAGGTGAATACGGTCTCCCTCCTTGTATATCCACTGAGAGGCCTGGAGCAACAGCCAGCCTGAAAGACACAGAGACACCCCAGGCCCAGGAGGCCTCAGCTCTTGGTGCAGAGCTTTGTGAAGGGGCCATGTACCACCCAGATCCTGGGACATAAGGGAAAGCCAGATTGGGAGCCAAACCTTCATAGCTCCCTTTGGGGAAGAGCTGATGGGCCCCTGCAAGAGAACTCAAGTCACACCAGGACCTTTGTCTAATGGGGAAGAGGGACACACACACATAAGATCAACACAGAGCAGAAGGAGTAAGTGATGAGGTAAGTTTGAACCAGTGCCGGGCATATCTGCAGGATCCTTAAGTGCTAGCCTTAGATATGTTGTGGCAGGTAATAAGGGCTCACAGCAAGTTCTAAATGAGAGTAAAAAGTGCATTTGAAAATGATGATTTGCTCTATTAGAGAAAAGGTAGATTTCTGAAGGTATAGACAATCGAAGGAATATTGAAAGACTCTTGCAGCAGTCAGGAATAAGGTGATGATGGCCACGGACTGGCTGCAGACATTGTGAAGGAGAATTCAATGTAAACATCGGGGAGGGGAAGGGCATGGTAGTGCTCAGCGTGGCAACTGGTGGTTTCGGAGGTGTCACGGGGCCTCAGTGAGACCACCTTTATTACTGAGCATGGCCTTCAAGAGAGGAAACTCGTATATTGTCAGAGCTTTTTCTCACAATCATCAGATTTCCCAAAGAGAGGACATGAAGTCGTGGTTGGGAGAGGACCTGAATAACGTTTAAAAAATGATATTGTAGATAAATATCATAATAGCGTAAGAAAATATTCATGAGACAATGCTAAGTTAAAAAAGCATAATACTAAAAATACTTTTAAAAGTACTATGCACAGAATAAAAGAAGGATATGCACTTACATATTAACAGGGGTTTTCTCTGAAGGAGTGGGACTGAAGGACATTTAAAATTTCCGCTGTTTACTTTTATATATTTTTGAAATTGACCCCAAATGACTTTTGTAATAAGAACAAAACAACATTTACTGTCATTTGATTTTTAATTTTTTTAAATCTACATTCTCAGGTTGAATTACTATAATTTTAAAAATCTACTACCTGATGCTAAACAAAATTGGTAGGACATGTGTTGGTCGTGATTCTCTACCACAAAGATTTGCTAAACAGAAAGTAATTTTTATTACCTATTAAGACATATCATTTCAAAAGAAGCGATGTGCCTATCCACTTTTTCAACAGAGAGATGAATCATTATTAGCATAAAGTCATGGTTAGTATATAGTCTGGTGGCCTTTGGAAGAACATTCTTGGTCCAATCATGGACTCAGTGAATGTCCATATATGTATTTCTTCAAGTGATATTTCATCAAGCACTCACTATGTGTGGCACACTGTGTGGACTAGAGATACCCAGATGACTAGACATATGGTTCTCAGCCTTAACTAATCTACAGTCTAGACATAGAAACACAAGTATTCAGAAATAATCACAATACAATATGACGAGTGCTACAACAGGCTAAGAATAAAGGACTGCAGAGACAACTAGATTGGAACAAAGACATTCTGCTTGAAAGAAGTAAAAAATGCTTCTCAGAGGCAGACATAGGTGAAATGGGTCCTAAAGAATGCTCAGAAGTTTACCTGGTAAAGCAATTCTCATGGTCACAGTTTAATATAGCCTTGATTGGCTATACTTCTTTTTTTTTTTTTTTTTTTGAGACAGAGTCTCACTCCATCACCAGGCACCAGGCTGGAGCGCAGTGGCGCGACCTCGGCTCACTGCAACTTCTGCCTCCCGGGTTCAAGAAATTCTCCTGCCTCAGTCTCCCGAGTAGCTGGGATTATAGGCGCGTGCCACCAGGCCCAGCTAATTTTTTTGTATTTTTAGTGGAGACGGGGTTTTACCATGTTAGCCAGAATGGCCTCGATGTCTCGACTTCGTGATCTACCCGCCTCGGCCTCTCAAAGTGCTGGGATTACAGGCATGAGCCACCGCGCCCGGCCTTAAAGAAATAATATTTACTTTTTAATTTTATTTCTAATTTAAAAATATTTTATACCATAGACTTTCTAATCAATGCCATACTCAAACCTATACTTAAGCATAAATTTGGCAATGGGATACCTCTTCCAATGGTGGTATATACATGTTCAGCCTGCAGATTAATCATGCAATGAAAGTCTTTGTGTACTATTAATAGAATATAGACATCAGACACAGGCAGGAGGAATATTTTGAAGGCAGGAGTCTTTCCTGGTGTCCCTGCAATCTTTGTAGGTGTCCCTACAGTGCCTGTAATCCCAGCACTTTGGGAGGCCAAGGTGGGTGGATCATGAGGTCAAGAGATCAAGGCCATCCTGGTCAACATGGTGAAACCCCGTCTCTACTAAAAATACAAATAATTAGCTGGGCATAGTGGCACATGCCTGTAATCCCAGCTACTCAGGAGACTGAGGCAGGAGAATTGCCTGAACCCAGGAGGCGGAGGTTGCGGTGAGCCGAGATCGCGCCATTGCCCTCCAGCCTGGGTAACAAGAGCGAAACTCCGTCTCAAAAAAAAAAAAAAAAATTATTTCTTCAAAAAAAAAAAAAAAACAAGTAAGGCATTGATGGGGAAAGAGAAAGATATGATGCTAGGCCATTAGGATTGCTTTGGGAGGTAGCTTAGGGTATTACATGCCTGAGAGTGAGAAGGAGATTGAGGTCCTAAAACCAAATTAATTAACTTATTCAATTCAATAAATATTATTGGCATGGTGGTTTATGCCTGTAATCCCAGCACTTTGGGAGGCTGAGGCAGGCAAATCACCTGAGGTCAGGCATTAGAGACCAGCCTGACCAACATGGTGAAACCCTATGTCTCCTAAAAATACAAAAATCAGCTGGGTGTGGTGGCGGCTGCCTGTAATCCCAGCTACTTGGGAGGCTGAGGCAGGAGAATTGTTAGAACCCAGGAGGCAGAGGTTGCAGTGAGCCGAGATGGTGTCATTGAACTCCAGCCTGAGTGACAGAGAGAGACTCCATCTCAAAAAATAAAATAAAGTAAAACAAATAAATCAATATTATTGAGCATCTATGCTATGGCCTACCTTTCAGATGACACATGCGCATTGTATGCATTTCATATGATTCCTGGAATACTGCAGTGCAGCAGTCCTGTATCTACTGTCTGACAGGCTTTGACATTTTGCCTGCTTAGAGCTAGGACTACAACTCTGATACCACTCAGTGGGACCACAGATCATCTCATCTTACCTTTTATCTAAGAATATCACCTCTGGCTCTTCCCAAGTATTTCAGGGCCCTTTGTTTCACCCTTTATTGGTGATGTTCCTCTTCCCCTTCACCAACTCACCAGTGTGGACTTCTAGCTGCACCGGGTCACTGCGTGTGGAGAGGCGTGTCTGGCACCTGTACTCTCCACTGTCGTCGACTCTGACAGAGGCAATGAAATAACTTGAGTCCTGGCTTGAGATGAGCTTTCCATTGTGAAACCACTGTGTGGAATTGTCCTCAGGAAGAGAGGTCCCCTGGCACTTCAGAGTCACAAAATCCTTCTCTAGTACCCTGTTCCATTGGGGCTCCAGAGACACCACAGCCTTTGGGAGATCTTCTGCGGAGCCAAGAAAATGTGGGGTGAGGACAGGGAGAGGAGCAGACTCTACACTGGCATTCCCAGGGAGCCTCAAAGCCAAAATGAACCCATTGTAAACCCATGCTTGGTGACTCAGTCTTAGAGCATCTTGGTCCCATTTTTGGCCTTTTCAGTATCTTGAGGAAAACTGGCCAGAGAAGCATAGGGCCAAGCCCTGCTGTTTTGGAGGAACTATCCCTGTGAACCCCCCATCAGCATTTTCCCATGCAGCAAGCATTTCCCAATATCTTATGGCCATCACCCCCATATGTGCCTCGCTGAGTCAATCTGAGACCATGAAGCTGACTCACCAGCTCGCATGCCAGCTGAAACTGCAAGAAAAAAGAGTGAATCAAATATTGAGTAGGAGCAGAGATCAGAGTGATTTTAAAACTCCCCTGCCCTCCCCTGCCCCAGGAATCAGAATATTTCTCGTGGAAACTTTCTTGCTATCTGCTCTCTGGTTTGCAGCGTCCATGGCTCCTGCCCCACTGTCAACCCAAATCCCTATTTCAACACTGTTCCCTTTCCCCTTGCTCCCTGTGCAAACTCACAAATTAAGAGTACAGGTTGAATTTCCCTGAACCAAGCCACAGAAACAGCCTCAACCCACATCCCCACAAGAAAGGGAAGAAATTAACAATCATAGAGGAAAACCCTGAAATGTCAAATTGAAAGAGACCCTAGGGACCATCTAGTCCAAGCTCTTCAATTCCATGTAGAGATTCTGAGACCCAGAGGGATCAAGTGGCCCACTCCTGAGCATGCCCCAATCGGAACCAGCATTCTCCTCATTTCTAGCCTCATCTTGGCTTGGCCTAGGAGCTCAATCCAGGGCTATAGATGTGGTGAGGGGTCCCATTCCTTGGTGGGAATCCCATTCCTTGGTAAGAATCCCATCCCTTGCTTGAAAAGAGGTCTCTGCTGAATCCAAGGCATTTAGAACTTCTCCTTCAACCAGGGAGACCCTTGACTTACCTAGAAGTAGCAGAGCGGTTGGGAGGAGCAGCTGCCACATGATGCCACGCTGGAGTTGAACAAGTCACCACCGTTATCTGGAGCCCTAAAGGGACGGAGCTGACTGGACAGGAAGAAGTAAACAGCCTTTCCCCTAACCCCTCCACCCATCACCCACCAGGTTCCTTTTCTTGAAACGTCATCTGACTTGTGAATCTGAGGTCTGGCAAGTGAGCCCCACCATAGGGCAGAAACAGGAAGGAAAGAGCCTGAAGACGAGATGGGTGGGTCTGCCCCCTTTGCTCCCCAGAGGTCTGTGGATGAGCATCTGGGGGCACATGCAGAATCTGCCAGAGAGTACCCTCAGCCATCCCAGGATGATTGCCCCCATCTCCTGGGTTTGGATTCATTCAGCACCAACAATGGGACAGCATGACCCTGGGGATGAGATTCAAGGCAAGAGGAGCATTCCCTGAGGGCTCTCTTCATTCCACCTCAGAACTTCTCACTCTCCTGCCTGGCCCAGACCCATCTCTCTCCAGCCGAGGGCCTGCCTGCAGAAAGTGGTCCTTTCGAATCTTCAGACCATTAGCCATGTCTCTTCCTCAGTACTATCTCTACCCATAGTTTCTTTCAAAATTCAAAATTCAAAATGCATATGCTCCAGGATATGTAATCCACAGGTGCCACTGACTTTTTAGGGTGATTTGATCATTAGATTCCCAGGCTAGAAGAAATCCAGGTAGGGGAAGAGAAATGGGCCCTGGGAGAACGAGTCACCAGTGAAAGGCTGAAAGGGGCCGGGCACAGTGGCTCACGCCCAGCACTTTGGGAGGCTGCAGCGGGCGGATCATGAGGTCAAGAGATCGAGACCATCCTGGCCAACATGGTGAAACCCCGTCTCTACTAAAAATACAAAAAAAAATTAGCTGCATGTGGTGGTGCACACCTGTAGTCCCACCTACTCAAGAGGCTGAGGCAGGAGAATTGCTTGAACCTGGGAGGCGGAGGTTGCAGTGAGCCGAGATCAAGCCACTGCACTCCAGCCTGGCGCGTGGAGACGGAGCGAGACTCTTGTTTCAAAAAAAAAAAAAAAAAAAAAAAAAAGAAAAGCTGACAAGATCGCAGAAAAGGTGGGGGTTGGGAGGGGTGAGGACAGCAACTCTTTACCTTCGCTGTTCCCCTGGTCCTACGGAGCAACACTAGTGCAGCTTAGCTCAGGTCCCTTGGGGCCACCTGGATCTGGGCTGGTCTGTCAGCCTGGTAGCTGACAGGGCTCCTTATCATAAAAGATGGAGTGGGGGCGGCCAGGAAGCGGGAGGGTTGTTAACCTCGTCTCTTCCCTCCAGATGCTCCCCCATACCCACACATTGTTTACTCTTACAATGGTAAGGGTCCCAGACAGAAAATCAGATGACTCCGCTTGATAGTGCCACTCCCCCAGGGGGCTCCTGGACATCTAGGACAGGTCTCATCTGGCTTAGAAAAGCACAAGAGGTGAGTAGCAGGCAGGTGTGGGCACCTGATGCCTGTCAGGGATGGAATGGAGGTAGGGGCTGGCACAGGTGCCCGCTGATCTTTGCTTTGGACGAAAGCTCTTTCTACACCAGAATCACATAAAAACCACTACCCAGGTTTTGTTTTTTGTTTGTATGTTTCATTTGGCTCCTGGGTGGAGTTAACTGATCCTCCCATTGCCATCCATGCACCCACTCCCCTCCTCCGTCACAGTCTTGCAGCAGCCCCTCCTCCACAGGCCCTTGGATTGGATGCCGGGATGGACAAGGGTAATGAACCAGCAGCCGTTCTAGTGCTCCTTCTCAAGTGATTCATTTACATTTTGCAAAATCCAGACAAGTATTTGGAAACTTAAAGTTCCTTGCTGTAACACTTCAGATGCTTATCTGGGAAACCTAAAGCAGAAACAATGCCTTCAGGGCTAAGGATGGTCTCTGAGGCAAAAGGTGGGTATCTCTCAATTCTCTCCCCTTTGCAGATATCCAAGTGGCTTTCTGTTACGTGACCTCTATGCAAGGCCTTACTTTGTTTTCCTTCTTTGAGGTCTTATTTTATTTTCTTATCTGACTCCTCTTTTGTCTGTAGCTCTCCAATGGAGGGAGGAATTCTTAGCTGCCAAAAGGGTGGGCTAGATAGGAAGAAGAGGAGAGAGAGCCCAGGAGGAGAGAAAGGGACTGCAATGGATTGGGAAGCTTTCAGGGGGTTTTCATCAAGTCGTTGAACAATTCTCAGGGTGCTGTTGGAGTTGTAAGGTTTAATTTTACAGTGATGGATAAAATGCAACATTTTGGCCTGTGGTGGCTTACTGTAATCCCAGCTCTTTGGAAGGCCAAGGTGAGGTGGAAGGGTTGCCTGAGGCCAGGAATTTGAGACCAGCCTAGGCAACATAGCAAGACCCTGTCTCTACGAAAATAGTAATAATAATAATAGCCGGATGGGGTGGTGCATGCCTGTCGTCCCAGCTACGCAGGAGACTGAGGCAGGAGGATCACTTGAGCCCGGGAGTTGGAGGCTACAGTGAGTTATGTTCATGCCACTGCACTCCAGCCTGAGCAACAGAGTGAGACCCTGACTCTTGGGGAAAAAAATAAAAAAGCAAAATTTTTACAAAGGAGCAGATGGTCTTGAGATATCATATACTGAAGTGTTTGTCTTGTCTTCATGTTTGCGTTTATTTCTTCTCTTTCCCTTTGTCCTCCCTCCCCTCCTCTTCTCTCTTTTTCTCATTGGAAAGCCGGGCACAGCAGAAGTTCCTGACTATGGAGGTCAGTTGGTTGTCATCCCCTAGGACTTAGAATTTCTTAGGGGAGAACATCAGGTAAGTATCTGAAGTGCTAGAGGGACTGTGAGAGTATTTATGAAATGCCGTGCATGCACAAAGAAGACAGTGGCTAATTCTATCTGGGGGAAGAGTGTGCATGGAAGAGAGAACACTTCAATTAGGTCACAAAAGATTCAGCAGGAAGATTTTTGAGGGAAATAGGCATCCCAGGCCAGAGGAGCAGCATGAGCAAAGACTTGGAGTGAAACAGGCTGGTGTGTTTGCAGAGCTGGGTGTAGTTCCACAAGTGTAGTGAGGACTACAGGGGAGAAGCACAGGCTCCAAAAGGGTTGGCTGTCTGGGTCTCACATGAGTCTGGGTGAAATCCCAACTCCATCACTTATTTAAACTTCTAGGCCTCAGTTTCCTTATCTGTAAAATGAGGCTAACAATAATGGCACTCATCGCTTAAATGAAATAATGCAGATAAAATTTTTCCATATTTGATACCACACCTGCTGATTACTGCTGATTGTAAATGCAGGATGGGAGGTTGAGACCTTTCTCAGTTTCTAAATTAGGTTGTGACCCCCACCCCCATCCCAACTCCTTTAGGAGCTCGTGCTTCTTCTTTGTAAACTTGTCACATTTGTAGACTGAAAGGTCTTGGGGAGCAGGGAATCTATTCACCTTGTACCCTTAACATTTAGCACAAGGGCAGACACGTATCAGGAACTCAATAATGATCATGAAGAGTTTTGTATGTCAGGATAAACAGTACATATTTTATTCTAAAAGCTAATGGGAACTAATAAAAAGGCTTTTGGCTGGGGAGTCACAAAATCTGTTTTACATTTTATGTATTTATTTATTTTTAAAAAGACAGGGTTTCACCATGTTGGTTAGGCTGGTCTTGAACTCCCGACCTCAGGTGATCTGCCCGCTTTGGCTTCCAAAGTGCTTGGATTACAGGCGTGAGCCACCATGCCCGGCCTGTTTTACATTTTATAAAAATGACTCTGATAGCAGTCCAAGGAATGAGTTAGAGGGGAGAGAGAAAGAAGGCAGAGGGAAAAGTTGCAAGTTTATTTCAGCATTCTAGTTAAGAGACAAGAGCTACTCTGTTTAACAGGTAGATATGCAATGAAAGTGTCTCGGAGAGAAGTTGGGAAGGAAGAATGGACAAGCTTGGTGAATGATTGGCTATGGGGGGTAATGAAGAGGGAGAGGTCTGGGTGATGCTCAGATTTCTAATTTGGGTGATAAGGAGGATAGCAGTACCTTTCATGGACAAAAGAAAAATGGGAAGATGAGCAGGCTTTGGGAGGGAGAAAGTGATCTCAGCTTTTGAGGTTATTGAGTTTGAGGTAGCTGTGAAGATTTCAGGTGAAGATGGCAGTGAGACACATAGCCCTGGAACTCAGAAGACAGGTCTTGACAAAAGACACAGTTTAGGAGACACCAACACGGTTGAGGTTTCAAACTTCTGACAAAAGCTTTGGGCCCTCTCCCAAGAAAGGATGCAAATATACGAATTATGTTTCCTATAATTTAAGAAGCTCTATCTGAACCCGTCCAGAGATCCTAGGGTAAGATAAAGTATGGATAAGTTCTCTCCAACTGTAAGAGTATTAAGTGAGAAATAAAGGGGGACAGTGAGGGAAAGGAAGGAGGGAGTGAGTGGAAGAGGAGAAGAGGAGAGAATCAGTGACAGAAACTTGGTATGCAAAAATTTTTGAAGTGTGCCCAAGAAAAATAGCTGACAAAGGATTTTGGAGAGGCGGGGCTGAAGAAGAGAGAACAAGGAAGTGCAGTGGGAACAGATCTTCAAGGAGGGCGTAGTCAACAGTAACGGTATTAATGTTGCAGAAAAAAATTCAAACGAGTTTGATTGAAATATGGCAATGCCACATTGAAACGTGGCATCAAGGAACTATTAATTACCTTTGCCTCAGCAATTTCGGGGGTTGGGGCTGAGAAACAGAAGTTTAACAGCTTTTGATTGAAGATAGAGCAGGAATGAAAAAGTGTTTAATGAAGTACTTCTCCTCTTCAGAATCTCCATTATGAAGGAATAGTGCACATGTCCTGGCTGTCCAGGATCTCCTCCTCCTCCTCCCCTTCTTATTAGCATCTCATTCTCCCCTGGAGAAGCCTCACTGTGAGCACTTAATAGAAAGCAGTGATTGCTTTCTACTACGGAACCCCAAGGGTCCAGATCTTCCTTTTCCCCACCTTGGAGCACTATTACTGTGGAGTAATAGTGGAGGACTAAACTGTGTCTCTCTCCCAGTTCATATGTTGAAGTCCACATGTGGAACCCCTGT